GAACAGAGACAAATGCTTGCTTTGGCTCGCCTTATCTCCGTTGCACCCTGGACAATTCCTCCTGTGACAGCCGCTGTCTCAGAACCAGTGTCTCTCGCCTCTCCTCATCCAGTGGGAAAGGAGAAACTGTCTGTTTCAGGTACTGCAGAAAAGAGGAAGGTGTCTCATTTAGATGATGTGGAAACTCAATCTGACCGTAAGCATCAAAGGAGGGGTTACACTCTTCCATCCAGACTAACTCAGTCACGAGCCCTCACTGAATCACCAACTGTACCAGTTCCATCCGGCTCGAAATCAAAGGGGTCCCACAAAACTTACGAAGGAAGAAGACTTTAACGAAGAACAATTCCTTAGTACTTTGAAGGCTACAAACACTCAGGAAGTTGGTACACACTCTAACACTCCTCCTTTAATTGGTATTACCTCAATACCCGAGTTTGAGAATCCTAATGTGTTACAATTTTTTACTGGCAATCTTCTTTCGCAGTCTTCGTTTGCCATTTATATATATATATTTTTTTCTCTGTTTTAAATGTGCCTAAGATGAATTTTGTCTTTTATTTTATGTGAGTGTCTTTAAAATTGAACATGAATTATTCATTCCCACTTCTACATGTGTGTATCTCTGAATTTATTCACACATCAGGTACATTTGATCATTCTGGATTCATTCTCTGTTCGTTTAATTTTTATCTTTAAAGTGTTCGTTTAATTTGCCTGAGTTACTCTTTATGTTTGGTTATTAGTTGTTTCTGTATGTTCATTACATGTCCTTTTTACATTTAATTTGTCTGGGTTACTCTTTAAAGTGCTCGTTTAATTTGCATGGATTAAAGTGTTCCTTTTGATTTGTTTAATTTGGTGCAAATTGATTAATGTGTTTATTCTCTTGTGTTACTTTATGTTTATGTGATTGTGGTTTGTTTGGTCCGGTCATGACCGTATTTGTGTTTATTCATGTGTTTCCCGCGCTATATGTGCCTCAATTGTTTATTTGTGTGTTTTCCGTGATATCTGGTCTGAATCTGTGCCTAAATTTGGTTCATATGTGTCTGTGTCTGAATTTGATTTATTTTGAATCTTTGGCTTGCTTTACATGAATGTGCTTACTGTTTTATTTGCTAATCTGTTTGACTCGAATTGAGAATTGAAAATTCCTGATTTTTTTTATGTGTTTTGCTGAGTTGTTTGCAAGTTGCGTGTGCATGGCTCTAGGGCTCTCTTTGTTTTTAAAATCTTCTGCAGGTTCAAACAAAGCAAATAACTTTTTATGGAGTCCCAATTACAGCTTCAAGCTAATGTGAAATTCTTGGCAAAGGAAACAATCACGATGTACATTTTGAGGGGGAGTTCTTCTTAATCTCTTATGAACAAATTCAATTTGTGTATTTATTGGGTATTCGGTTATATTGGATTTCTTGGGTATATATGGATTCTCTTACTGGACTCTATCAGTTTTTGGATTATCTCGTTGGGTTATCGTTTTATTTGTCTTATCATAATCTCTAGGGTCTCATTCTATAATCATCACCTTATTTGGGTTCTTCTTGGTTTATCTACTTGATGAGATTATTTATGAGGAATATTTTGAATGGGATTGCTTACAAGGCTTTATCCTCTTGGTCTATGATATCTGATACTGATGATGCTGCTGACGGCTCAGTTTCGGGCACCCCGTCTGCACGGTAAAACTAATCCACTATTATGATGTTCACCTTCCTTTGTCATTTATTTGGCAAAAAGGGGGAGTTTTTGAAGTAAGGGGGGGTATTTTTGGATACTTTTGGATCTTTTGAATCTTTTGAAAGTGTTGGATTATTATGGAAGTCATAGGACTATGATGAAGTTTGTGGCAGTGGTTATATTTTTGGATACTTTTGGATCTTTTGAAAGTGTTGGATTATTATGGAAGTCATAGGACTATGATGAAGTTTTTGGCAGTGGTTATATTTTTTGGAAAGGTTTTTCTCTTAAATCATTATGGAAATAATTAGACTATATTTGTTAGGGGGAGTAGTAGTACAGTTTTGTTTGGTGCACCTAACAAGTTGAATGGATGTTTCGTTTTATGCTCTACTCACATTAACAAGTTGATTTATGATGTGGTATGCTATGAATTCGCTATGGATCCAAGGCTTGAAGACTTCTAATCAGGTACACTATTCACAAATGGTCCAAAAAGAACTTAATTTGTTATTTTTTGTTATTATACTGTTGTGTCTTGTTCAGTACCTATACTAAGGGTGTCTTGTTCAGTACCTATACTAAGGGCTATAAATAAAATTAAATTGATTCTTGCCAAAAGTATTTGATACTCAAGTTTTACCAAATAAAATGCCAAAGGGGGAGATTGTAAGTGTAAAATTATTTACACATTAAACTTATTGGTTATTTTATTTAGTAGTAGCTTTATTAGTTTTTAATTAAAGAATTTAATTAGAGTTATTAGTGTTAATTCTATTTTGGACCATGTGATTACAAAATAAGTGGATAGCATGCATTGGTGAAGAAAGTCTATGATGAAGCTTTCAAAGAAATAGATGTGTGGCTGTGGCTTATTCGAACAGTGGAAAGCAAGGAAAGAGGCTACAATTGAGGATCAAATAAAGGAGCTCATGAAGTGCTATAAAAGAGTGCTGCTCGAATGAAGACACTGCCAATCTTGAGATTATCATTGACGAAAGCTATACTGATTTACAAAGCTATCATTTTAATGTGTTTTATTATTTAATTCTTAAGAATATTTAATCTGTACTACATGATCAGTACGTGGTACTGCTGAAGCATCTGGTGAAGATTGTTCGGGTATTCGTGTGTCAATCCTGGATAGGTGTTAGAAAGAGTAGTAGTGGTAAAGGCTGGAAGCCATCTGTATTTACCTCTTGTAATACTCCTTTTGGTGAACATCTATAGTGGATTGGCAGACGTGGGTTGCCCCGCAGACGTAGGAGAAGGAGCTCCGAACTGCGTAACAATTCCTTTGTGTTTTTACATTCTTTTATGCTTTCTGCTTTCATTATTTACACTTTCTTAAACAAGTCCAATTAATTAACAAAACTGGTGTATAACTTAATTAACGAGTAAAAACACATTGTTTTTATTTTTCAAGTGTCACGGTGTAATTTTCTGAAAGTATCTTCCAAGTGTTGGATCTTTATTTATAGTGGCAATAACATTTGATTACCCTAGCACAACACTGATGAATACTTGTAAATGATTACTATTTTATAGCCTCTTGTTAGATTTGAATTTCATTTTTATTGGGAATGTAACAGTACTGATACTTGATTTTATTTTCCCAATATTGTTTAATTGGTTATTACTTTATAAGATCAAATTTTGGCTTGATCTTCATACATGGTTTTCTGCATTTATCATTTTTAAATGAGTTTACAGAGTAGTAATATCACATTTTTAAATGAGTTTACAAATTGAGTATCAAACTCATGACATCTGCCATACATTATACATTTGTTCATCTATAAACTCATTGATTTTTATTACGAATACAAAGTGCAGTCGTATCTGATTTGGATTTATCCATAATGGTTAATTAGTTATTAATTTTTAATTTCAAAATTTTACTTCATTATTGATAACATTGATCAAAGCATTTTTTTTTTTTTTGTATTAGGCAAATGAGCCTAAAAATTATATAATCCCTATTGTCAAACTATTTGGTTTCAACTGTAAATCCCTACCTAAATCCTTTCATACTATCATTCTAATGCAAGTAGTGAAATTTGCATTAGATAAAGGCACTTTGATTTCCACAAATAAAAGTGTCTTAATCTAATGCAAATTTCCAAGGTTTTATATAATCCCTGTTGTCAAACTATTAGGCTTCAACTGTAAATCCCTAACTAAATCCTTGCATACCATCATTCTAACCTAGTACTATTCTTTCACCCTAAAATATGTTTTTTTTTTCTTTTTACTTATAGCTTAAAACTGTTTTTACATAAATTATTGACTTTGAATGTATAACACATGTACTAAGTTTGGTTAAATAAATAGGATTAAAGGTTCCATAGATACTTTTAATACAACACTACGTTAGAAATTCATCACTCCAGCTTAGATTTGTAACTCATGGTTATTAGTGTACTAAAAAACTAATCGAGAACCTTTTGTCAAACCTGAAATACTCTATGTCATCACTCCAGCTTAGATCTGTAACCTTTTGTCATTTTTTGACTGAAATCTATTTACTAATTGAGTAAATTTAACTTGTATTCTTATTTGATAAGTTCATGCCAACTTAACTTATTAAATACTTCTATTTTTACTTGATAAGTTGTAATTTAGTACACAGATAAACAACTTTTTTTTTATATAAGTAGTCAGACATTGATAGTTTATCTTTGCAGTTGTTTTCAGATACAAAGAGACCTGGATCTGGATCTGAATATAACAAAACAGTTGGCATCAAATAGTAGGCAAGATCCAATAGGTAAGTTTATTTTCAAATAATCCAAAAGATTTTACATTTACTTATGATGTTATAACTTCATTAATATGTATTTAATTATCTCATTCCAGATAAAGTTATCAAATGAAGATAGAATTCCTAATGCATCATAACATGAAAAGGCATGTACAACTAAAACCATCTCACTAGTTAGTACTATTTAAACTGGAAACATAAATAAAATAAACTTGAGGATACAAATACCAAACAAAAAATAAGTAGACATAATATTCATATTGTCCATAGAGTCCCAAAACATAAGACAGAATTGAAAAGTAGTACATAGACTGACCCCATTAGGGAAACATTACAAAACATAGCATAAGAAACCGCAAAAGCATTACATTTTTTCCAACTTATAGACTGAAGTATTAAGTCTATTAGAGTAGTGAGGCTGATTGACTTCATCCATTAGAGACCTCTTCAGTGTGCTAAATAGAATAGAAACCGCAATCGCATTACATTTTTTCCAACTTAATCACCAAAGTCTTAAGTCTCTTAGAGTCATCAAACTGATTGAATTCATCCATTAGAGACCTCTTAAGTGTGCTTGCAACATTTCCAGAAGAACCCTTTCATTAAATCCAACCATTTCAAAATCACCAAAGTCATCCAGGCCAAATGAATCCTGAAAAAAAATTTGAATAATACACATAGTGTTATTCAATTTTATAAAGAAGAAAACAGTCTAAATAGGAAAATAGTTAAACCTCATGAGTTTGTTCTGTTGCATCTAAATCACAGTCTATAATCCCACAGTGTTTTGAAACAATGTCAGCTTGTCTACAGAACCCTAACACCCCAAATGCAGAGCTCAAACTGTCCACTTGATCTTTCTTCATAGAAATCCTAAATAGTATAGGCATCCCACAAATAGACTGCAACTCAGGTGGGATCCAACCTTTTGCATTCTGAAAAAAAAAAAAAACATAATTTTTTTTAGGAAATAAACATAGGAACATCTATAGCATTACCAATCCCAAATTAGAGTAGAAAAACCATTCTCACCTCAGCATACTTCTCTCTTAGGGATGAAGCTGAAACACTAACCAAATCATAACATTCCTTATCCCAAATGAGCATAGGTGCTTCACATGTACTGTCCGTTACACGAACAACCACCTTATACTTGACAGCCCCCTCATGCCAGCTACAGTCACACTTAGAGCAGTACATCATACCTTCTCTTGGAGTTAGCTTTTTCCCACAGTTAGTTCCCTTACAGGACATGTAATACCAACCATCTGAACTGTCAACATCCATAATCCTAACAGCAACCCAATACTCACATAGCTGTGTCATAGCAAAAAAGAAGTTAGTAAGCCAATATGGAAATAAAAATAAAAAAAATAAAAAGAGAGAAAAAATAATTTATTACCTCCTTCCTGTTGTAAATCTCACTTAGAGAAGTTACGACAATATCATCACTCAGAGTGTTACGATTTGGCCTAAATCCAGGTAGTCTAGAGCTTGAGTCCAACTTTCTTAAAGGAGTTCTGTCAGATGATAGACAGGAATAGAAGGAATAAAAGTAAACAGATTCAATTAAGAACGGTGGAATTTAAAAATAGAAACAGAATGTAGGATTTATACCTTAAACTTTTCTTAAACTCCTCAAAATCTGGCATTTTCTGATTGATCCAAATTTTTGTTGCATTAAATGAAGTTGATATGTGCACATCTACATCTAGAAATAAAGAATATGCAATTTCAGGATAATGCCACTAAAAGATAAAAGAATAAATTAATAAAACTTGAAGCAATGGAGTAGAAGAATAAAAGAACACATACTATCAAAGATCTTTGCCCTACAGAACTGTAGCAAAACAATCACTGGTTCTTCAGTGACTGTTGAGCTATAAATAGGCAGCAAACTGTTCACATGATCCCCCCAAAGAGTACATTGAATCTGATCTTGACTAAAAGAAATAAAAGAAAAGTTTATTTTAAAAAGAATAGTTTATTGAAGTTATTCCATTAAAACTTAAAAAAAGAAAAAACAGAAATGTAATATAAACATGTACACTCACTTGATATCTTCCAGAACAAAATCAATAAGCCTAGCTCTCTGTCCTGCTACAACCCTCTCCACTGGAGAATAGATTTCAGTGACCCTTCCAATCACATCTAGAAAAAACAAATAGAAATAGTTAGGTATTAAATAAGGATAGATTTAAAAGTAAAAGAGGCTGTATTTAAGGATAAGAATATACCTATGAGCATCTTCTCATCAATATCTTCCTTCCTAACCAAGGAAGATTTCGATTTTAAACGAAAAATCTTGTTAGGAAAACTGACTTTCTTGTACTCCTTAACCATAATATCATGCTTAAATTTAAGCATATAATGATGATTACTTGTCTTGAACTTCAAGTAGTTAGTAATGCAAAGGAAGTTCTTTATCCCATAAACACAACCTTCCTTGAATTTGGTCCATTTTTGCACTTGATCCTTAGGTATAGTACAATGAACAAACACACCCTAGATGAACACATTCAAAGGTATTAAACTGGAAAGTAGTGAACATAAGTAAATATAAAGAAATTTTATGTTAATAAAATCGAAAATACTACACCTCTACACCATGGAAAACGCATTCCAGACTGCTAATCCCCTTGTTTTCTCTATTTTCATAAACAACATATGTTCGCACCAGCCTAACTCGAATGGCCTTCCTATTGCACAGTGGAGTGAGCTGAGAAGCAAGAACAAACTGACCAGACATCAAAGAAGAAGAGCTTGTGATTCGAATAGACTAATATTGAGAGGTTGTAATGTGCAATTGCTTGTATAAACAGGTGTATTTATACTGAAAGCCATCACTTATGTTGTGTAAGTAATCATCACAACTGAGTGAAAAAGAAGAAGAGCTGATAGTTCCAAGACATGGTAGCCGGCTGAGGGAGATAACGCAGAGTCGCAGCAGTAGTATACTTATAGAAAGAGAAAAATTAGAAGATTAGAGGATTAGCTTAGTAGATAAAACCTAGATTTGTAATTCAAATATAACACCTTTCCTCTATGACATGAATCGGGAAACGAAACCCATCCCCAAAACCAATCAAATGAATTATTATCCTATAAAATAGGATTCCAAAACCAATAAAAACACTCATGCCTACTAATGCAAGGATATAAGGTAAAAAAGAAAAGGTAAAAATATATGCAAAATCTTTAGTTGTTGGGCGGGAGAATGAGAGCCAAAATCTCCTGGCTATATTGGTACAAAGATTTTCACAACAGTGATTTGTAATCAACTTTTTCATCAAGTAATTGCGAATATATAAGGGTGTGTTTGGTTCATGGGTTTACACACTAGGAATGAAAATCAAAATCATAGTTAGTGTTTAGTTGACAACTTTTTAAAACACAAAGAAGCACATCTGCTACACCTATACAAGTGTTTCCGCTACACCTGTACAGGTGTAGCGGATGATGGTGATTGAAAAAGTGTAGGTTTTCCGCGACACCCGTACAGTGTGTTGCGAAAAACATACGAATTGTTTTTTATTTTATTAATAAAGACTTCCCGCAACACCCAGCTTCACATCGGGTCTCGCAGAAAGTATTATTTATTTTAATCTTCCTCGACACCCAATCGTAGGAGGGTGTCGCGAACACCCTTTTTTTTCAATAATAGCTTTTCAAGACACTCGCGGATTTTTTTTTTAAATATTTTATTTAAATTTTGAAAACTACCTAATTTTATTTATTCAAAACCTGTACAAAATTTTCTAAAACCACCAAATCCACACAAAAATTTACAAAACTAAAAAAACAACAAATTAAACTATCTATTCACAATAATTTTCAAACCAATACTAATAACTATGAACACAAACATCATCACAATATAGTTTGTAAACTATATATACTTCACAATTAATAACCAACATGCACAATAAATCACCACAATATACTTATACTATCAACACAATAATAACAATCAACACATTTAAAATTGAAATCAAGATATACAATTCTTTAACAAAACATAAACATATGTTATAATAATAAAGATAACAGTTAATTACCAAAATGGTCTTTTGACTATAACGAAATTACCAATTTGTTCCTTGACTATTTTTGTTGACCAATTATGTTCCTCAACTTTAAAAATTTTAACCAATTTGATTCTCCGTTTGTTTTGCCGTTAGACATCCGTTAACTAATAATTGACTTGGATGGTTGTATTAAATAAATAAAATAAAGCAATGATTCGGGGTAATGAAAACAATATAGGGAGATTGAGATTCATGGGATTCAAGTGTTTAATCCCCTAGTGCCTAACCTAATGTAATATTAAATCTAAGTTTAAACGAGTGTGAGGATGCAAGGTGGTATAAAGCTACTCCCGTAGTCACTAACACTAATGAATATCCACTCCCGTGGTATAAACACCCAATAAGAACAAGAACAAGCATTCATAAATAATCCATAACCACTACCATCTCCCGATGTGCAATAATCAAGAATTAAACTCCCTAATAAATATGCTCTTTCCCAAGGTGAAAAGTTATGCAATTGTGTGAACTCTCAATTATGCCTAACTCCCGTTATGACATAAACAAAGCAATGAAACAAGTAATCCGGGCCCTGAACTACTCGCAACGACAATAATAAACACAATTGCAATACAAGTTTAAAACCCAAATAATAATAAATTAAAGAATCTAAGAGCACAGACACATAGGTTCATAAACACTTTTTACCCAAGAATCCCTAATGGATTAATTTAGCCACACATGGTTAAATTATACATAGCTAAAGATAATAAAGAAAATACAAGTTATCAAAAAGAGTAGAAGATTGAACCAGGAAATTTTCCCAAATCTCCCTAGCATTCTTCTTGTTTTCCAAGACAACTTGTGGCTCTTGATTTCTCTCCTTCTTGTCTCCAAAAATCTTTGAATCAATATTAGGGTTGAGGAATAGGGAATTTTATAGTAGGAATCCATCCTGGAGGAAATAGGAATTTTCCGTGCAAAACTGGGCCGAAATCGCGTCTGGGCCGACATTTTCGATGCGTCGAGTCTTAATCCTCAAATTTCAGAATGCACACTGGAAATTTTTGACGCGTCGAGAATTTCTAGTGTCGTAGGTCCGTCTTTCAGGCTGATTTTGACTATTTTCCCTTCATATCTCGACTTTGATTTCTTCATAAGAGTTGTAGCCCTTCGAGTCTTCTTTCTAATGGAGCAAAAATCACTTCATTTGGATATTCCTAGGCTGAGATATGGTCCAAAAACCAAACTGTCGCTAATCTGTGGGAGAATTTTCACTTATTGTTCTTTTGCTCCACTTTTGCCCCGGTTTGCCCAAGTGATCAAGACCATTGAAAACACCATTCTTTGGCTCCCTTTTGAAGTATTTAAGCCACCTCCTTAGCCTCACATTGACTTTGTTTTGGCTCCAAAACTCGTCCTAGAACTTCCCTTGCTTTTGCAATTGATCTACAATGGTTCCAAAACACCAACAAACACCGTAAAACATTCAAAACAAGTGTTACAACCATATATAAATGATAAAACAATGGAATATGCAATTAAAGTGACATTTTCATAAACTTAAACCAACAAATATGCTCAAACTAAAACTAAAAACATGTACAAATTGGCTGACATCAACTATAAAAGGACCCTTTTCCCTCAACCCTAGAGACTTATGCTCAGTTTTGGAGACAAGAAAGAAGAGAATTGAAAGCCAGAGCAAGCTAAGGAGATTTGGCAGAATCGCTTGCTTTAATCCTTGTACCCTTTTAAATTATTTGTAAACTCTTAATTATTGTTATGTATTGCATCTTAGCCATGTGTGGCTAAGTTTTCTTTAGAGATTCTTGAGTAAAAATATTTATGAACCTATGTGCCTAGTTCTTTAATGCTTTAATATATTATGATTTGGGTTTTAACCTGTGTTGCAATTGTGCTTCTTATCGTTGTTGCTAGTAGTTTAGGACCCAAATTACTTGCTTCATAGCCATCTTTGTGTCATAACGGGAGTTAGGCATAATCTAGGGCACACACAATAGCACTTAACTGTTGCACCTTGGGAGATGGTAATTTTGTTAGGGAGTTTGATTATTGATTATTGCACATCGGGAGATGGTAATAGTTATGAATTTATTATAAATGTTTGTTATTGTTTTATTGGGTGTTTATATCACGGGAGTGGATATTCACTAGTGTTAGGAAATACGGGAGTAGCTCTATACCACCTTGCATTCTCACACTTGTTAAACCCATATTTTAATATTGTCCTTAAGATTGGCACTAGGTGATTAAATACTTGAATCTCATGAATCTCACTCTTTCTTAATTGTTTCCACAAACTTGCATACTTGTTCTTTTATTTAGTTTTTGCCATTGCTAAATCATGTCTTTCGTTAGGATTAGCTTCTCGTAAATAAATCAGTAGCTAGTGCTTAATACCTCACTTCCCTGTGGATCGATAACCCGGCCTGATACTTCGGGTATTATTTGTTTTAGAAATACATTGCAACCACTGAGTTAGGTGGTAAAGGAATTGCATGCCAAAAGTCCCTTCTATAGCTGTCTCAATGGGTATTTATAGGGAATTCGAGAAGACACATGCCAAGAAGCCGGCATGTGCGCAACGTGCCCTCCATGTACTCGGTAATCTGGTCGACTGAGGAGAAGCGTGCACGTGTAAGAAATTACCAAATTAGCTAATTGCTCATGGGGATTAGTTTGAGTCATGTACTCGGTAATCCGGTCGACTGAGGAGAAGCGTGCACGAAATTACCAAACTAGCTAATTGCTCATGGGGATTAGTTTGAGTGTAAAGTATGCGTGGCATAGACTCATCACGCCACAGGGCCGCTACTCCTTTAGGTAGTTTTGAGTGTAAAGCCCCCAGACGAGCAAGTAGGCCGGGGCCAAGCATAACACAGGAAGGGCCGCTACTCCTTTAGGCCGGGTCGGGTGGGCACTACACCCCAATCGATCGATTCAGGTCGTAGGGCCGCTACTCCTTTAGGCCGGGTCGAGTGGGAACTACACCCCAATCGATCGATTCAGGTCGTTTCACGCTACAGGGCCACTACTCCTTTAGGCCGGGTCGGGTGGGCACTACACCCCGATCGATTCAAGTCGGGAAGGCATAAGGTATAGACTCATCACGCCACAGGGCCGCTACTCCTTTAGGTCGGGTCGGGTGAGCACTACACCTCGATCGATTCAGGTCGGGAAAGCATAAGGCATAGACTCATCACGCCACAGGGCCGCTACTCCTTTAGGTAGTTTTGAGTGTAAAGCCCCCAGACGAGCAAGTAGGCCGGAGCCAAGCATAACACCTTTAGGTAGTTTTGAGTGTAAAGCCCCCAGACGAGCAAGTAAGCCGGAGCCAAGCATAACACAGGAATGCCACAGGGTGAGCACTACACCCCGATCGATTCAGGTCGGGAAGGCATAAGGCCGCTGCTCCTTTAGGTAGTTTTGAGTCTAAATCCCCCAGACGAGCAAGTAGGCCGGAGCCAAGCATAACACAGGAATGTCCGCTACTCCTTTAGGTAGGCCAGGTCGAGTGGGCACTACACCCTGATCGATCGATTCTTTAGGCCGAGTCGGGTGGGCACTACACCCCGATCGACCCTGATCGATTCAAGTCGGGAAGGCATAAGGTATAGACTCATCACGCCACAGGGCCGCTACTCCTTTAGGTCGGGTGATCGATCGATTCTTTAGGCCGAGTCGGGTGGGCACTACACCCCGATCGATTCAAGTCGGGAAGGCATAAGGTATAGACTCATCACGCCACAGGGCCGCTACTCCTTTAGGTCGGGTCGGGTGAGCACTACACCCTGATCAATTCAGGTCGGGAATTGAACCCCACCTCAAGGTGTCGTATCTGGTCAGGTCCTTGGTACAAACAAGGCCATAGATATGCACACTTGGATCTTGTTTGTATCTTGTTTGTTCTTGTTAGTTAATCCAATCTAATTAAGTTCCCACCACCGGGGTTCGAACTTATGACCACTAAAATTTGAATTGGTAACTGCGATGCCATCACACTACATGGTAGTTAGCATTTTGCAAAAGTTTTTGAAAGAATATGTTTGAAGAAATTGACATAGAGTTGGGTTGGGATGAAATATTTATATAGAGTGAAAACTTAAAAAGAAAAACATGAACCAATGCAAGAATATAACAAAATATCAATGGATTTATCCATAGATTATATACCCACATAACTATCAACCACATATAACTATCAATAGATTTCAATATATTTGTATTGGCAAATTTGATTTTTCTTGTTGTAAATAAGTTTTTTAGAAGTAGACTTTGAGTTGGTGTAAAATACTTGGGAATTATCCCATGGTTTGTAACAAATATATAATTAAAACATAACTTTTTTTTTAATGATTTTGAAAATTTTATGTGAGAATTATATATTTTGAATATATATTATAAAAAATATTACTATAAATATATAAATTAATTTTAAATCATTATGAATTAATTTAATTATCTTTTTTTTAGAATTATATTATAATCATAATTAATTTTAAACATTAATAAACATATCATTAAAACACTTTTATTTTTAAAATTAAATAAAAAATTATATTAATATTAATCAATATATAAAAACTTGACATATAAGCTTTTTAATTCAAACTCAATTTTACTATATAAAACAATAGATATCTAAACCAATAACATATGGTGTTCACTCCAAATCTAAATTTTATTTCAAATTTCAAATTTCAAATTTTAATTCAAATATGAATGATGCATAACACTTCTTCCCCCAATATGTTGATAATAATATCTAAATATTTAAATTTTGAACTTTTATCACCAATTGCTTTAATTGATACAAAATAATTGAACTCTTTTCATTTACATATTTTAATTTAAATTAAAAGTGATAGTCGTATAGAGCATATAGTTTTAAAAAAGAAAGAAAGAAAGAAAGAAAGAAAAGATTGCACCACACTTCAAAGAGTACTATTGTACAAAGGTGTATAATCACCTCCAATCTTGTTGTTGTTAATTACACAAAAAACTATAATGCGCCGATTAATGTGCTGCAATCCATATCGATCGATTTCACACTGTTATTAATTCCCTATAAATATCATTCCATAACTTAACTCAAACCGCTTAGACTCCTCCTCCCTACCATAGTTCTTCCATCTCCAATCTCGATCAACTAACATCGCAAGCTTCGATTACACACACTCACCTCCAATCTTGTTGTGAATTCTGGATTCCTCCTTATTTTATTATATTGATCGTCATCATGAGCCCATCGCCTTTTCAAGGCTATAATCATCAGATTATGATGAGCAGAACAACCAACCCGGCATTGAAGATCAATCCGGGCTCTCGTTTCATCAAGAAATCGTCACCGCCGCCGCCCTCACCGCCGTTGCAGCCGCCGCCGCCGCCGCCGTCTGTTTTAGATGGTCCCACGGCCACCATTCCCGGTGGCGGGCCTCGCCACCCGGTGATTATCTACACGCATTCTCCCAAGGTCATCCGGGCCCACCCCAAGGATTTCATGGCTCTCGTGCAGAAGCTCACCGGCTATTCCGCCCCTCCCTCATCTCCGCCGTCTCCGCCATCTCCGCCGTCTCCTCCACAGCCTTTGCCGGTGCCTTGCGACGAATATTTAATCACTGAAATAGATACGAATAATAATAATAACAGTGATCACAGCAGCAGCAATAAGAGCAGCCGTGATGACGTCATCAGTGGAAGATATAATTGGTTGATGATGGAAGATAAGGACTCGACGACGTCAGCTGTGATGGATGAGAAGGTAGGGACCTGTAGTATAGGCCATGATTTTGATCCAAAAAACAATAGTAAATTTCATTTTGATAATAATAATGAATTTATCAATAATATGTCATATTTTGATCCAACCTCCATGGATTTCCGGTTTCCAAGTCCACCATTTGATAATTTTGGAGATTCATTGGTTTTGAATGGAAGCTCCATTTCTTCTCCCCCTTCTTCATTGGCCACGAAAGGTAGCTCCACCGGTGTAGGTTCCCCGGAGAGTGTGATGGATTTTCCGTCCTGATTTTTTGGGGTGAGGGTTTATACATAAAATTATTCTTAGGATTTTCAGGCTTTTTTTCTGATTTTTTTTTAATGAATTAGAGGTGTTGCTTTGTCAATAATATTGCATTTGAAAAATAAGATTTGAATGCTGAGTCTTTCTAGTTGTGAGGGGTGTTATATATATATATATTTGATTTTTTGAGCTGAGTCTTTCGATCTAATTGTGAGGGGGGTGTTATATATGGTTTTAATGTGCGGATCATCTTGTTTATTGGGCAGATGGGGGAGTGGGATGGATTAATATTGGGCAAGGTGGGTGGGATGGATGGGGGACTACCTCTTTGGATTTGCCACCCACGCCAATCATCTTGCTAATATTCTTCCCATATTTGGGAGAAGAATATTCTTCCCATAAAGGTTAAATCTCCAACCTCCAAGGTTCCCACACCGGCCCGGGAGGGTGTATGTTAATCAATGTGCCGATGGGCAGGTGAGTGGATGGCCTCCTTAGATTTGCCACCCACGCCGATCATCTTGCTAATATTCTTCCCATAAAGGTTGAATCCCCACCCCAAGGGCCCCACACCTATCATCTTGCTAATATTCTTCCTATAAAAAGGTTGAATTCCCAATCCCAAGGCCCCCCACACCTATCATCTTGCTAATATTTTGCCTACAAAGGTTGAATCTCCAACCCCAAGGGCCCCTCACACCTATCATCTTGCTAATATTCTTCCCATAAAGGTTGAATCCCCAACCCCAAGACCCCCCATTTGTGCACCGTGGTCCAAAAAGGCTCCGTAGTGTATCACGCGCTGTTACCATTAAACTACAGTGTCGTGCGCCATTACGGTTAAATTACCGTGTATCGCGCGACCGCGGTACAAAAAGGCTCCGTAGTGTATCGCGCGACCGCGGTCCAAAAAGGCTCCGTAGTGTATCGCGTGCCGTTACCATCGCCGTTACCATTAAACTACAGTGTACCGTGCGCCATTACGGTTAAACGGTTAAACTACCGTGCGCCATTACGGTTAAACGGTTAAACTACCGTGCGCCATTACGGTTAAACGGTTAAACTACCGTGTATTGCGCGACCACGGTCCAAAAAGGCTCCGTAGTGTATCGCGCGTTCGCGGTCCAAAAAGGCTCCGTAGTGTATCGCGCGTCGTTACCATCGCTGTTACCATTAAACTACAGTGTATCGTGCGCCATTACGGTTAAACGGTTAAACTATCGTGCGCCATTACGGTTAAACTACCGTGTATCGCGCGACCGCGGTCCAAAAAGGTGCCGTAGCGTATCGCTCGCAGTTACGATTAAACTACAGTGTATCGCGCGCCGTTACGGTTAAACTACAGTGTATTGTGCGTTATTATGGTTACAATAAATTCACTCATATTGATATATTTTTTCAATATATTCTTACAATAAATGTGTGATATATTAATAATATAGATGACCGATGACTTACTATACCTACAATAGTGGCTTAATGAGTATGCAATAGTAATTTAATGAACTTGTAATAATGTTTTGATGGACGAGCATAAATGACTTAATGAACTTGTAGTAGTGTATCGCGCGCCGTTACGGTTAAACAACAGTGTATTGCGCGCTGTTATGGTTAAACTACAGTGTATTGCGTGCTGTTATGGTTAAACTACAGTGTATCGAGCGCTGTTATGGTTAAACTATAGTGTATCGCACGCTTTTATGGTTAAAACTACAGTGTATTGCGCGCTGTTACGGTTAAACTACAGTGTATCGCGCGCTGTTACTGTTAAACTACAGTGTATCGCGCGCTGTTACTGTTAAACTACAGTGTATCGCGCACTGCTATTGTTAAATTACAGTGTATCGCGCGCCATTACCGTTAAACTACAGTGTATCGCGCGCCCCGCCCCGTTACGGTTAAACTACAGTGTATCGCGTGCCTCGTTACCGTTAAACTACAGTGTATCGCGCGCGCCGTTATCGTTAAACTACAGTGTATCGCGCGCCATTACCATTAAACTACAGTGTATCGCGCGCCGTTACCGTTAAAATACAATGTATAGTGCGCGCTGTTACCGTTAAACTACAGTGTATTGCACGCACTGTTACAGTTAAACTACAGTGTACTGACATTGTCTTACGTATTATCACGTATTATTTTTATATTATCAAGTGAAATTGCAATTGAAATGCGCGCTACATTGTATCTAAACTGACATTACCTCACGTATTATTACAGTGTATCTAAACTGACATTCTCTCATGTATTATTTATTTTTATATTTTCAAGTGAATCTGCGATTGAAATGCGCCTTACCAACTGAAACCACAGTGAAATTGTAGTTGTGTTGAAACTGAATAACAATTTCATATATTTGAGTGTATATTACCCAGCGAAACTGTAGTTATATCAAAATGATACTGTAGTTGTGTTGAAATGAAACTGCAGTGTATATAAAATGAAACTGAATAACATTTCATATATGTGAGTGTATATTGTGCAATGAAGTTGTAGTTATATCGAAATGATCATGTAGTTGTGTTTTAATGAAACTATAGTCTATATAAAATAAAATTAAATAACATTTTCACATATTTGAATGTTGGACCACAGAGGCTAGACATTTGCTTACTGCGCACATGGAGCCCCCCTCACTTTGAGAGGTTGCTCCCACACTACTACTGTTGAGACTCAATCCTTGGTCATTCTTCCCAAACTTCACCCATATAACTAACTGAGCTCCCCATGCGAGCAATCTTCTTGCTAATATTGGGCAGACGAGTGGATGACCTCTTTGGATTTGCCACCCACTAGCTTAGACACGTTCCTCGCTGCTGACGCTTTTGGTGCCGGCTCCATTAGAGTTTGGTAATTTGTCTTCTCGGTGTGGGGCAAGTTCACCAAAAATTAAAAAAAATTAAAAAAAATTATGATCGATTGGAGATTGAGATCAGCTGACTCCCTGGTAGAATTGACTTGTATTTTGAACCTGATCGATTGGTGACTCAGATCAGTACCTTTCGAATATAATTGAATTAGCAATAGTGAATTCGTCATCTTTTTTTTTTTGAAAGCAAACAACGAACTTATATTAAGTCATAGGAAAAAGCATTACAAATGGCCCTGGCTGGTGTTGATAAGTCCCTCCAAACTTTGTCATTCCTTGCGCGCCAGATATTCCAACAAATAATAACAAATAAACAGATTTGAGGGGGCTGCATAGAACAAAAGATGTTATCAATCCACTCTGTGCAGTTTTAGAACAGGTCCTTATCCGGCAGCTGATCAACGAGACGCCAACCTGTAGTGGGCTAGGAGGTGAAAAGCAGATTCGTCGGCTTCATTGCATAAAGGGCACAGAGCATTGCAATCAATTCTTCTATGGCGCAGCTTATCCATCGTTGGAAGGCAACCTGTACAAACTTGCCATAAGAAAGTCTTAGCTCTAGGGGGGAGTTGCATATTCTAGACTGCTGACCATTTTGGGGGAGGCACGGTGTTCAAATCATTTGAGATGGCTTTGTAACAGCTCCTCACAGTGAAGATCCCCTTCTCATCCTTGTTCCATATGACCTTATCATATCTGTTTCCTTGGGGGATAGGGACACTTAGAATAAGCTGAGCATCCCTGGTGTTGAAAATATCCCTGACCACATCCACATCCCAATCTGTGCCTTGAGTATTCATGAGGGAATTAACAATTGCATTATGGAGATGAGGAAAAGGAGGAGTGGTGACCATGGGATTTGCTATGTCTGGTAACCACTTGTCGTGCCATATGCTAATGTTATCACATTTGTGTTTGTTTTTATAGTTAGTTTGAATCATTTCAGTAACTAAGTTCTTCAATTTTGCTTATTTATACATGTTTTCCTTGCTATTCTCATTAGGATATGGTTTTACACTTGTTTTGAATGTTTTACGGTGTTTGTTAGTGTTTTTGAATCATTTTAGGTCAAAGATATGAGCAAGGGGAGTTCAAGGATGAGTTTTGAGCAATTTTGGACAAGTTCGGGGCCCAAAGAATTCGACGCATCGAAAATTTCTAGAAAGTATTGTGATCAAGACCAGCAGGTCTTGACGCGTTGAGCGAGCGACGATCAAATGCGAAAGAAAGAAAGCAGCGCTAACTTCAATTTCATAACAAATTGAATGCAAAAACATTCCAAATTCCAAGAGGCGTGGATTTTAAAGAAAATCAAGATGTTATATTTGCAATTTATTTCTTAAGGGACGACAATTTCCTAATTAATTTAGGAAAATTCCAATTCCGCCCCAACTTTGTACCTACTATAAAATCCCACCTTCCTCAATCCTAATGAAGACAATTTTTAGACAATAATCAGAATAGACAATTTAAAATTTAGATTCAGAATTCAGAGATCTTTGGAGAAAAGAAAGAGAGAAGTCAAGAGCCACAAGTTGTCTAGGGGATCAAGAAGAAGACTAGGGAGATTTGAGAGAATCGTCTGGTTTATTCTTGTACTCTTTTGATAATTTGTATTATCTTTATTATTATTTGCTATGTATAATTTAGCCATGCTTGGCTAAATTCTTTAGAGATTCTTGGGTAAAAGTGTTTATGAACCTATGTGCCCGAGCTCTCAGCTTCTTTAATATATTATTATTTGGGTTTAATACTCGTGTTGCAATCGTGATAATATTGTTTGATGCTTGTAATTAATGGCCAAAGTTACTTGTTTCGTTTGCTTTGTTTGTGTCACAACGAGAGTTGGGCATAACTTTGGGCACACACAATTGCACTTAACTGTTGTACCTTGAGAAAGGGTAATTTATTAGGGAGATTTAATTCTTGATTATTGTGCATCGAGAGATGGTAGTAGTTAGGAATTTATGATGCTTGATTTTGTTTTATTGGGTGTTTAAGCCACGAGAGTGGAAATTCACTTGTGTTAGTGACTACGAGAGTAGCACTATACCACCTTGCATCCTCACACTTGTTAAACCCAGATTTTAATATTGTCCTTAAGATTTGGCACTAGGTGATTAAATACTTGAATCCCAGGAACCTCATCTACTCTCTAATTGTTTTCAAAATCCTGAATCTCTGTTTTATTTTATTTATTTCATGCAAATCCATCATCTAAACAATTGTTAGGATTAGCTCTAAT